TTTTTGAGGTTTATTTTGATTGTCTTGCTGTTTTTGTCTACATTCAGAAATACTATGTCGTATCGTCGGCAATAATTACACCATTTTTTGAAAGATGGTTTGCCTTTAAAGTTTGGGTGTTTTTCGTAAATATTGAGTATTTCAGTGATTTTTTCAACGAGGTCTGTATCTGATTCCTGTATATTGTTTATATTTGTGGAAGCTGTTTCAATTCTGTTAACGTATTGTAATTTCAGATTTTCCGTTTCTTCGAGTTTCATCGTGATTTCTGCTTGTTCTAGTTTGTCTACTAGTTTTCGAAAATCTAAATCGGGTTCTCGAATTGAAGAAGGATGGGATGCTCTCTTTTTTATTGCTATTTTTCTTAATTGCGGTGTTAAGGTCATCATTAAGATTTCTGTCATCTTTGTGTTTTTATAGTCATGTGTATTTAATGAATATGCTTTTCGAACTAGTGTTTCGATTCGTACTGCTAATTGCTTGATGGTTTCGTTTGGTAATCTGCGAATTTCATTACATAAAACTCTTTGTTGTTGTTTGTTTCTTTCGGAGTCAAACATTTTTGAAAATTCTTGTGTAAACCTTTTCCAATTTGATTTTATTTCTATAGGCAATACTGAAAACCATTTTTGGGCTGCGCCATCTAAAGTTGTTTGTATCAAAGCTGTGCGTCGATGTATCCAGTTTTGATGTAGTGGCGTATTAATTGGTTCAGGTCCTATATTTAAAATTAAATTTGCTGTTACTGCATTTAAATAGTCTTCTACAGAATATTCAGGGTCTGTTCCTGTGAATACCATTAAAGGTTTATTTGATGTTATTGATGATCCACCCATAAGGTATGGATTCATTGTCATTTGTAATGATTCTGCTGCATTTGGCATTTGAGAAAAATTTGAAAGTTGATTTCTTGTTATTTCGTGTTGTTGAAGATAATATGGGAGTGGTATTTCATTTTGCATTTGTGTTGGTTGGTACGAGTTTGCAATCATTGGGTTTTGTTGCTGAATTGGTTGAAAAGATTGTGTATTAATTGGGTTTTGTTGCTGAATTGGTTGTTGATTTTGTGTATCTATTGGTTGTGGAGAAAAAATTCTATGATATGTATGTGGTTTCTGTATTCCTTGTCCACGATATTCTTGATTATAGGGTGCAAATATATCTGGTTGTAAGAAATCATCATCTGAGGATAAGTAATCCATTTGATAAGATGTTTGTTTTTTATTTTTATTTTGTTGAAAAAATGGATAGTTTTCACTACGATCCTGTGGAGGATGTAAATTTGTTTGGAAATTTACTGAATTAGGTGGTGCCATTGAGTTATCCCAGTTTCGAGATCTTGTATAATTACTAAAAATTTTTCGTGTTTGATAATTTGTTTTTGATGGATGTGTGTAATTATAATTATGGTCTGCAAAATTGTTTCTAGTGAACGTTTTGCGTGTTTTTGGCGGTATTGTCATGGGTCTGTATGTTTGGTAATCCATGTGTGAATATTTTGGGGCAACCAAAGGTTTAACGGTTGATTGTAAGGTTACCTGTGTTTGTGAAGGATTTGTATTTCTTGGTGTTGTTAAGTTTGGACGTATTGGTGAAATACTTTGTTGTGTAGTTGTTGTGTGTACGATTTCTTCATTTATGAAGTGTGATGGTGTCTGGATATCTTGTTGAGTAAGATTCCTAGTTCCATTGAGGTTTTCATTGTGTATGACTGTAGAGTTTAAACTATTATTTTGCATATCGGGTAAGAATGTATTATAGTTTAATGGTGTTGCATCAATGGTTAATGGTATTACTCTTACATAATCTCTTACATAAGATATCGTACTTATTGCTTGACTTGAGATTGATTGTGGGAAGTTTATGAATGCGGGATGAGACCATTCGGGGTCCCAAACATAGTCTGATTGTTCTGTGATGGCAGTATCATCATTTGAGTTTTGGGGTCTAAAATTTTTTCTTGCTTGTGAAATTAAATCAATATTATGTGTGAAATAATCTATTATGAACCATGCCAAAATTTTTTGTAAGTCGTGTTTTTTGTATGTTGGGAAACTTCATCTTTCGTGAAATTTTCTTTAATTATATTTAGAAAACTAGAGAGTAGTGTGATTTCATGTCGTACTCTTATATGTTTAGATGCTTCTGTCGGTGAGACATTTGTGATTGGGATTTCGTTTTCTAATATCGAGATATAACTATATATTATTGCAAAAACTTCATTGGTGAATATGGAGTTTGCTCTTTGTGAGTTATGATATTGGATGCTTTTTATATATTCTGAGAATACTTTTGAAAATTCTAAATCAAGGTCGTCTGTTTGAATTGTATATTTATTGTGATTCTGATTTGGTGAGTTGAATTCTATGGAGTAGATTCCGTATTGTTGTGTTAAGTTACATATATCTTTTAGATAGTGATCGATAATTTGTCTTTTGATTTTTACATCTGGGAACTCTGTTTTACATGGACTGATTCCGGGTTCAAACAAATTTAAGAGTAAATTTTTGCAAAATATATGCTGTCCTCTATCAGTGGTTGCATCTACGATAAAGGGGAAGATATCATCATCATCTGGACTTTCTTCACCTGGGGTGTGCGTTGAGCTCATTTTTTCGTTCGATGACTGTTAATATGTAATTATCAATGTGTCTAATTGGTTGATTCCAATTGTATAAATGTACTGGTTTGTGTTTATACTGCTTTTTTATTCTTCTTTTTCCTCTTTTTGATGAATTTGAAGTTGTTTCTGAGTCAGAGAAATATAATTGATCGTGAATTGGGCAATTTTTATCTATTGATTCTTGTAGTTTATAAAGTTCGTCTAAACTGTTGGTTTCTGATTCTGAAAATGCGTTTCGATTTTTTGAAAATCTTTTTCGTGTAATTTGTCTTTGTTTAGTTATTATTTTTCTCTTTAGTGTTTGTCGTTTTGTTCGAATGTATCCAACTGTTTGTGTATGAGGTGTGATTACAAGGTCGTATTTTTTGTTATCTATTTCACAATTGTGTAAAACGATTGTTTGTTTATTTCCTAGGTTTTTAAATGACATAAGGTTTAGGATGACGGGTGCAAAAGGTTGTTAAATGATTTCTATTTGCTTAAACTGTTAGTCCTTACGACTTTTTGTTAGCCTAACCTGGGTCTATTTGTTCAGGGTTGGGGAGAAAAGTATATCGATTCCGAAGAATGATTTTATACTTTCTCGTGGCTAGTATAAGCTAAGGTGTTAACTTACTTAATCTTACTTAAGGGTAGTGATTGTGTTCAGGGTTGGAGAATAGTAAATCGATCCACAAGGTTCAGGTATAATTAGAACGCGAGTAGTTCGTTGGATACTATTTTAAACTTACTAAGTCTAAGATTTATCCTGGGTCTGGTAAGAGGGGGGATCAAGTGAAGGATGAATAACCGAAGTTCTTCACTGTTTATCCTAATTTGAATGATTAGTTTTGTTCAAAAATTTCTATTAGTCCAGGGTTTTTAGAAAGGGTTGGATAGTGAATCGACGTTTGAGGTCGTTAGACACTAGTTAAATGGGTGGGGGAGAACAAAGTTGTTCTTTTTGATCCAAGGATAGGCCTTGATGATCAAGTTTTAAATTTAATTAAATAGAAAATGATTTAAGATCCAAGGATAGGCCTTGATGATCTGATTTTAAAATTAAGTGAATTTAAGTTTAAAATGATTTAAATTTGTGTAAAGAAAAGATTTAGTATTTTTATGATATTAGTGAGCTTATGAATGTATGAATGCTGTTATGTTTAGGTGATGAAGCTGGAACAACAGGATGATTTATAATTACTAACCATTTATTCTCATGCTACTAATTTTTATTTTGATTTTTCAATAAATATTTTTCAAACATGTTTTGTATATTACTGCAGAATTTAGGAAAACGATCTGAGATCTTTTTATCAATCGTTATTGTATATTAATAATTTTGTTTAGCGCCTGAAATGATTTTGAAGATTGACTTCAAAATTTTATGTTTGCAAATGAAAATCTAAATTCATTGCTAGTAGTATTCTAAATACAAAAGTTTGTTCTGGCTTTTGCCGAACTATCATATAACTATATGGTAAGTTTCTGCTTTGTCGTATGTCGTCTCTGGTTCGAGGTCTTCTTCCAATTCCGGGTAGTTCTGTTATCGTTCGGAATATTGGCTCTGATCTATTGAGTCGTAGAGACATTTCGATTAAATTATTGTCGTATAACATTTTGTAAATGTTTTGTCTAAATTCTAATCTATTATTGGTTAATTCTAAGCTATTAAGGTCTTGTTCGAGACTTATGGTCGCACCAGATGAGTTAGGACCGATGGGTATAACTCATAGAGTAATTTCGGATAGGGTACACCGTCTGCTCGTCACGCTATCTTATTTTCGGCCGGATAGATTCGTGCAACTTCTTAGTCTAATACCGATCCTAATCTTACTCTTATACTATCTAGTCTCAGGTTGTTTAACTAGTCTCTGCTAGGCTCAATAGATCTAGGGTATACTGGTTTATTGCGGCTGCTGAAGTACTCGGGAGAGTTCAACTAACTTCTAAGTTAAATTCAAATCTCTCTGGTGCTGAAATTACAAGTAATTTCAGCACTTACAAATAAGTGGATTGTTAGTCAGATGGATCATGATTGGTTAATATTAAATACTTTACATTGGTAAAATATCTAATTTATCCAATCATAGAATGTAGTTTAGATCAGGTTCCACTTCACAGTAATCGGTTACTTTTTTGCTCCGCGGAACACTCTAAAATATTGGAAAAGCGCTCTGTCGTAAAGTGCTCTGATATCAAAAACGTTATTGTATCTAGTGGGTACTATCATAATAAACATAACTTTAAATGTTTGTCAAGAAAAACTGGATTACCTTTCTAATATTTGTTTTACCGACGTGCATGTAGCGTAAGACAATATTTTTTTGTTTTTTTATTGCTCTCAGAATTTTTCTGTTTCAGACCAACGACAGTAGTCTAGTTGCAGCCAATTAAATAGAGTCGAATATCTTCAAAGTATATTGTTTATACTCGATCTGAAGCCATACGTCGAAAAAAAAACGCGTTTTGGTAAATTAGCTTTACTTGACAAACCACTCTGAATCTTGAGATTTGAACTCTTGTTCGACAATTCGCTCTGTTTCTATTGGACAGTGGGCAAAAGTGCGACCACTTTGAGCCAAATTATCTACAGGTCACGCCGACGAGTGTGCATGATTTTATATTTGCTAGTTTGTTTGAGAAAAACATAAATACCTGAATTTATTTTATATTTCGGTACCAAAAGCTGATGTTTGTAAGTTTTCGATAAGGTCCATTGCAAATTTTGCTCCCTTGAGTTTGAAGCCTTATTCTTATTAAGTCTCTGAAATCTGAAGCTTGCACATTGAAATCGACTCATTCGTGACTTCAGATTGCAAAATGAGTGACAAAGTGCCTCCACCAATTAAAAACATTCAGGTCAAATTCAAACAACTGTTCATCAACAATGAATTCGTAGACGCACAGAGCGGCAAGAAGTTTGAAGTCATCAACCCAGCAAATGGAGAAGTCGTTTGCCAGGTAGGAACCCATTCAGGCACTGTGCAACAGTGCCAAATTACAACATTGCCGAAAGTTGAAATAATCAACAGTGCCATAAGTTGTCAATTTTCTGCACTGTTGAACTATTTTCCATTTTCAGCACTGCTGTTTTTCGGCACTGTTAAACGCCTCTACAACCAAAAAATTGACCCAATTTTAACGGACTCCTTTTAGACTTTTTATTGAGTATAGATTTCTGGACGTCAAGCAGAAATCTTTTGTTTTTGGTGAAATCACAATAATTTTGTTCTAATATCATCGACGCAATGCTTCTTTTTGACAACTCAGAAAGACTGCTTTTGTGAGAAGTCATCAATTAGTTTTAGTGGATACTGTTTTTTTAGCTGACTCTCAATTATTTTTGTTTGAGATTTAGTTTTCGGAGGCTGGAGACCTGAGCAGCATGGCCTAAGGGCATAGCGTAAGGGCAATGTTAACAGAATGAAAACTATCATACTTCTAAACCCTTTCTATAATAGTCTGGCTATTAATCGGGCGACATCCACCAGTCAATTTTTTTAACAGTTCGTGTGGCTTTAGACTGATAAAAAAACATATCAGCCCTATTGCGTTATTGGTTTGTCGTTTTGCACTTATTCCGCTCCTGCTTTGGGTTCATTATGATCTTAGACTGGTTTCCCAATTTTTTATCAGGTCGCTGAAGGCGAAGAAGCCGACGTGAACATAGCCGTGAATGCGGCAGTAGCGGCCTTCGACCGCAAGTCTCCCTGGAGGAAAATGGACGCCTCAGATCGAGGACAGCTGTTGTACAAATTGGCAGACCTCATCGAGAAGCACCGTGTCGAACTTGCTACCCTGGAATCCCTGGATAATGGAAAGCCATACCATATTGCATACATGGCTGATTTGCACCTTTGCATCAAGTGTCTCAGGTACTATGCTGGATGGGCTGATAAAATCCAGGGGAAAGTTGTCCCAGTCGACGGAAACTTCCTGACTTATGTCAGACACGAGCCAGTAGGAGTGTGTGCCCAAATTATACCCTGGAACTTCCCGCTCCTGATGGCCTGTTGGAAACTTGGCCCAGCGTTGGCTACTGGTTGCACCGTTGTCATGAAACTTGCTGAACAAACTCCCTTCACTGCTCTTTTTGTTGCCAATCTGATAAAGGAAGCAGGCTTTCCAAAAGGTGTTGTGAACATGTTGACTGGATTCGGACCCGAATGCGGCGCTCCTCTCGCCAAGCACCCTAAGTGCGACAAGGTCGCATTCACTGGATCGACAGAAGTAGGAAAACTGATTCAAGGCTACGCCGCCGAAAACATGAAGCGGGTGACGCTCGAGTGCGGCGGAAAGTCGCCGGTGATTGTTCTCAAAGACTGTGACATTGACCAAGCCGTTGACATTTGCCACGTTGGGTTGTTTTTCAATCACGGTCAGTGTTGCACCGCTGGATCCAGAATCTTTGTCGAGGCTCCAATTTACGAACAATTCGTGAAAAAGGCAAAGGCGAAAGCTATGGGCATCAAACTCGGAAACCCGATGGAGAAAGGAACGGACCAGGGTCCACAAGTTGACAACGAGCAATTCGAAAAAATTCTCGATCTCATCGAGTCTGGGAAAAAAGAGGGCGCGAAGCTGGAAACGGGCGGAAAACGATTCGGTGACAAGGGATACTTCATTGAGCCGACTGTGTTTTCAAACGTGAAAGACGACATGCGAATTTCGAAAGAGGAAATTTTTGGACCAGTCATGTCGATTTTCAAATTCGAAGACCTTGACGAGGTTATTGACCGAGCGAATGAGACCATGTATGGTCTGGCAGCTGGCGTCATGACTAATGACCATAAGAGGGCCATTCAGATTTCAAATGATCTTCGCGCAGGAACAGTGTGGGTGAACTGCTACAATGTGTTTGACATCCGTGCACCCTTCGGCGGTTTCAAGATGTCGGGAGTCGGACGGGAATTGGGCGAGTATGCACTACAAAACTACACTGAAGTAAAAACTGTGTACAACGCTCTGTGATTGAATTCACGATGAAAAGGCGATACATCATTAAATATTGTCTAATGCCATAAATCTACATACTACTACTAATACTGAAAATAATGTAAAGATTTAAGTAATAATTTGCTTAAAATAGTAACAGATTTATTTTAAGTGAGGTAAATAGTTTCACAGAAACTTCATACAATTGATAACTAATCCTTATGGGGCTTTTATGTTCAGCTCAACAAACTCTCAGATCGTTAACAGCAAGAAGGAGAAAAAGAAAGAAACATTTTTTCCAACCCCTCTCTCCCCACTTGCTATGTAAAATATTAAGGGTGTGATTAGCGTCTCGTATTGTGATAATATAATTAATTTGCTGGTCTCAATTCATTTTGGAATGCATTAATTCGCTTCTTATGCGTGTCATAAGTGCGCATTATACCACACTTAAATTATCGCAAATTGAGCATATTAGCTATTTTCAAATGCCCTAACAGAAAAATCGGAACAATAACAGTAGTATTGTATCGTGTCCCGGATCCTAAGGGGGGGGTCCTTCCTAAGGGGGGGGTCCTCACGTAAAGCAAAATCCTAGGAAAGGGGTCCTTAATTTTTTGGAGGACCCTCATCCTAGGATTTTGTAAACGAAAGAGATTTTCCACCCAAAAAGCAGAAGACCCCCTACTTAGGATCTTGCTAAGTTTAGCTTAACAACAAGGGACACGATACAAAAATCTTTCTAATTCCAAATTTTGGGGTCCTAATTATTGGTCCTGATTAATTATATGAATCATATTAATTGTTATGCTTGTTTAGGGTAAATGAACTTTCGACCTAGTTGAAATTTGTTAGTGAACGGGGAATTGACTTTTATGGTATATAATAAAAATTCGCCGGCCATTTTGGCAGCGTAGCTTAACTGTTGGCAGCAGTAAACTAATTCCTTAACTTGACCTAAATTTTATGGTGAAAAGGCAGTAAATTGAAATTACTCTCAAAAGGCGGCGGCCGTTTCTGGGCAAAATATACCAAATGATAAAATTGTCAAATTTTGAAATAAGAAAAATGAAATTAGAGGGAACTTGGTGTACTGAAGATATTGATAATGAACATTTACAATTAAGAGTGTTTTCAACCGCAGAAAAAAACTCATTTTTCAAATTATGTAATGAACGCTACGTCGTCTTCCTCGAAAGGGCAAAGGAAATTTCAAAGAAAGAATACGAGTTGATTTTCAAAGAACAATTTTATTTGAGTGAGCTTCAACAAATCTCTTGGTGCATTTCTACAAAACAAAAGTATGGCACTGTGAGCGATTTGAATATTGCTGATTATGAAAACGTTTTCGACTATTCGTTTGACTTTAACTCATTATGGGTTGATAAAGACTTGGAGAGAAAAATCCGTCTATGTTTCAACAAGCTATCAAAATACAAAAAACTTCCGGTGGTTTATTTAATTATTTACCACCGTTATCTTAATGAGTCTAAATGGTATTTGCAAGGTCACTTTTATTTCCACTGGCTTGAAATTCAGCAGGTTGGAGAGGTGTTGGAAAAAATAAATAATGAAATTGCAAAAAAGCAGAGTAACTCCTATTGATTTGAAAATAATTCACGAAATTTATACGTCTTTGAAACAAACTTATCCTGATAATTCTAACCGACGCAACTATTTTCTAGCTGCATGTTCTCTGTTTTTTGTTAGTTCTGATAACCTTAACTACGACATTTTAATTAAGTTGAGACCTTATGGTGGCTTGATTGGTATTGATAACTCTTCCTTGGACAAATATTTGAAAAATTCCAAAATTTTACGATTGCACGCTATTTTGCACGATGCGGCCGGATTTATACACGAATTTTATCAACAGGGTCCCACGTACTGTTACATGTTGCCCTGGAACTGTAACAACAGCTTATTGGGACATTTGAGTGGAATAGCGTTCTGCCTTTTCATTAAGTTGAAAAAACCAGAAGTTTATCATTTACTAGAATGCTAGGCGAGAGATCAGTTGTGCTTGACGTGGAAGGCTTTCGTTACAAGAAAAACGCCTTTGTGGTTAAAGAATTAGCAATAACAACTTCAGACTACAGCGATCGACTCATTTTCCTACCTCCAGTGAATTTCGATATACTACCAAAGCTTGAACAAAAAGCTTACAACTGGTTAACTAATTATTTACACGGTCTCCATTGGGAAAACGGTGATTATCTTTATATAAACTTGAATCAAATACTTCAGAGTTTTGTGCTGAGAAATCCTGGTGCCGTTTTTTACGCTAAAGGAAAAGAAAAGACAGAATTTTTGGCCAAGTACTTGGACCGAAAGATTGAAAACCTAGATGATTTGGGCTGTCCTCGGGTTGAAAACTTATATTTTAAAAATTATCCAAGTTGCAATAAACATATTCCACATTACAACTCCAGGAATCATTGTGCCTTGAAGAAAACCAAGGTTTTTTATGATTGGTTGAAAAATGAACAACAGCGAGAGATCAGCGAAAGTGGAGACATACCTATCACAAAATTCAATGCTTTGTGCGTGGATGACTCCAGAGGGTGATATTAAAATTTCATTAACGAGAATAGAGCGTATTGATTGCAGTGGCCAAATTGTTCAGAGGAAGGAGCAAATAATAATTTCCGAAGAAGAGTTGTCTACGTTGAAGAGGTTTTTTCCAGTTATTGATCAATTTGTATACTTCCAGAGATTCAAGTTTATCAGAAATGTTAGCCAGCAAGCGAGGAGTATGTCTTCCCGAACTAGTCTTAGTACCCAAACGTCAGCCAGGAGTTCAAATGGATCTAAACAGCAGTGAATTGCCAGATGAGATTAAGACGATTGTGAAAGAGGATACTGTGAAGAAAATAATGTACTACAAAAAAAACCGCAAATATCCCAGCAAACTTTGTTTTAGAAATGCATGACATAAATGATAGAGATTTCACACGTTATGAAATTTTTTACTGTTCTCAAAAGTAATTTAATTTTTTACAAGCTTCATTCGCAGAGAGAAAAAGTCTAACGCAGTCTGTAGAATAAATAGTTTCTCAAATGTCAGAAGCAACAACAGCAGTAGATGAACCTGACGCAACATTAGTAACAGAGTTTGTTTATAACGAGACAAACAGTGAAAAAAAATCATGGAAGTTTTGTAACAATGTAACTTTGCCAAGGTCTGAAGTAGTTTTTGTTGCGCAAATGGTAGTAATTCTAATTTTACTAACTTTCTGCATTCTCAAACTTTCTTTCACTAAATTAAGTTGCGAAGAAACGTCAGTTTGGTTCTCGATTTTATCAGGCTTGGTTGGTTACGTACTACCAAACCCAAGAATATGAATAAAGTGATTGATACTTCGACAAGAATTTTTATGGCGATAGTGGGACCTTCAGGATCCGGGAAAACTGAGTTAATTTTGAAACTTCTGATGGGAAATACTTTTTACCCTAAATTTGGAACCGTTCTATATCTTTACAAAGAGATGCAACCTGCATTCTCAGAAAAAGTGTCTTCTCGCGAAGTGAATATGGAGTTCATGAAATTCGACGGATTCGAATCTGTGAGAAAATTAGAAAATGTTCTTCTAGTTTTCGATGATTCATGTGAAGACATCTATAATGACAAGGAATTTGTTAGGTTAGCGACAGCGGGTAGACATAGAGGGATAGATGTAATATATGTTAAGCATAACTTGTTTCAACAAAGTCGATGGTCGCGTACGATTGATTTGAACACTTCACACATCATTCTGTTCAAATCGCCTCGCGACGTTCAGCAACTAGATCTATTAGGAAGACAATTGAATGTATCAAAATTTTTGAGAAACTGTTACGAATTAGCTACCAGAGACTCTTTTGGACATCTTCTAATCGACTTGGACCCCCGTACATCAGATTGTTTGAGATATTGTTCAAATATCACACCACCTGGGCCAACAGTTTTTTATTTACCCTTATCTGAAGCAGAAACTACTCCAATCACAAATGAAAAAGAAAAACTTATCTATTCTGCGGCATATGGTACAACTGAAACCTGACCAGCTAAGAAGATTAATTAGAAAAACTTCAAATCGTGAGATCATAACACTTGTTTGTGAATGTTTGCTCAATGTAGTCAATGGAAACGTACCCGTTAAAATCGCAAACATCGAACGATTCGAGACAGCATACAAATACTTATTAACTCCAAAAACCAGTGTTGTCAAAAAACGTGCGATTATTTTGAGTAAAGAAGGCTTCCATTTAGTTCGACAAATACTTTATTTTTGTTACAAGTACCTCACAACTTAATGATGACTGCTGAAGAATTCATTCTAATTCCGAAACATTTATATGTTAAAGAGCAGCCACATGCTGCACGTGTTCTTCATGATAATAATATTAAACATAAAAATGCTCAACTGTCCTATCTTAACCGGCTTAGACCCCAATTACCTCCACAAACTAGTAAGACTACTGCAACGAAGGAAACATTTACGGATAATGTTGAGCCCCAACAAGAACAGCTTAAACTGTTAACGGACGATGAAGAAGTACCGGTCGAACGTGTTAAAGACGAAAAACTAGAAGAGAAACACAATAGACAGACCGAAAGCATTTTAGGACAGTTACAAGTTTTAGAAGACAAAAAATTTGTTAGAGCAAAAACCGTACTTGAAATTATAGAAAATTCAGAAAGAGTAACCATAAACCATGACAATGAGGTGATATATGTAGATAAAGTACCAACAGGACTTAAAGCTACAATATTTTTATACGACATACAACAACCAACGAAAAAACTACACAATCCGGCGTTCATTAACATTTTAACTGCTCTCAACTTGAATGAAAACCTGGTAATAAATCGAAATGCCAAACACGCGGTTCAGTCAGCGTCTTTTAACGCTCAAGAGAAACGAGAACCCGGACCCTCAAGAACCCGCTCAACATCGCCCACTTGGCAGGAAAAAAGTAGTGCAAACCTTAAGAGAAGTAAAAAACACAAACGAAAAAGTCTCAGCGGTAATAGAAAAACCCAAAACCAAAAACGTGAAAAAGAGTCAGAAGAAGGCTCTGACTCATACGGAACGCCCCATAACGATTCAGATTCTCCAACGTCAGAAAAGACGAAGGCGCAAACAAAACAATGGGAAAATTACCAAGATTGAAGAAAAATTGTTGAAAACTAAATACAGTGACAAAGGTCCCGCGTTATTTGGTAGTGTGAACAACTT